GAATTCTGGCACTAGGTGGTGTGGAATGGTAGAAAAACAATATACTTGGAATCAAGAGAGAATTCTGCCTCCAACAATGATTAGTTGTATAACAATTAGTATCAATGTCTTTGAGGCATTGTTTCCTCATCTATAAGACTGGGTTAATAATGGCATCCCCATTTCAGTGCTACAATGAGAATCAAATGAATTTATTCATATAAAATCTTTTATGAGTTTAAAACATTATAAAAATTTTGGGTAACTTTTTTTTTACTTTCATGATCACAAAAATTTCATGATATTTTTAATTTTGTGAGGCCTCTAGGGCCCTCATGTTAATCCCCTTTAAAATAGGAGTAGGTAGGACTTTAAATTAGATAATCTTTTTTCTCTAAACAAGTATAATATTTAAATAAATATAAAATCATATAATCCTGTCCATTCCTAAAGCCATGTTGTTTACTTCTTTATTATATAAAGATGACTTATTTTGAAATTACCTTTTGCAAATTCACTCTTATTTCTTACTAAAAAAAAAAGATCTCTAAAATGTTATTTAATTAGGAGAAGTAGCATGGTTAAAAAGAGAATTTATATATCCAGGTTCTGTTCCCAGAATAGTTATTCAACCCCATGTGGTATTATGCAATCTCATTCTAAATATGATTCTATATTTCATTATAGGTCAGTTTCTCTATTGATGAAGACAAATTAAATGGAGAATAATTATTTTCTAATATACTTTCCTTGATGCTGCTGGGAAAGTCAAACTCATTGTCTAAATGACATTTTAACCTAAACATAGACTATTCCTTTGTCAATATTGTTCAAACTCCAATTCAGAACTCATTTCTCTCCTTTACTCACATTGCCAGTTTTGGACAGGTAAAGAAGACACCTTTAAATATGTTATGGATTTTTTCTCAAAAACAGTCAATGCTTAAGGAATATCCAATGATAAAACTTTTATTGCTATAGCCACCACAAAGAATGGACTGAATAATTTTGAATATAATTAAATTTCACTATTTATTAAAAGTGAATAGATAGTATACTACAGTAGAAATGACTGACCACTGTGCATTAATAAAAACAATAATGCTCTGAAATTACACAGCTTTTGTTTGTGGTGCATAAGAAGTGTAGAAGTAATGTTGAGTTAATTGTTTTATTCTTCATGAGGTAGTAGGCTAGCAAGCATTGTCTGGAGTAGATTTCAAATCAGTAAATTGAAATCCATCAAGATTAAGTGATTTCTTCTAATCCTGCAGAAGGTCAGAGACAAGAAAGGGACTAGAATTTGTCAATAAATTTGTATTCACTTCTTGTATATATGTGAGGCTGCAAGAATCTATCTATACATAAGATCCAGACCCTGTTCTTAAAGACATTTTCATCTAGTAAGGGAAATGCCCTAGCATAGATCCACAAATACAAAACTACATATTATAGCTGGTAGATTGGTGATGAACAACAAGACACGTAATGAAAGTATGATGGAACAACTATAGGAAAATAAACTAAGAACTAGAAGAGATCTCAGAGAGTATCAAGCCCTTTTATTGAAAATTTTTAGCGAAATATTTAGAGAAAAATTTAAAAAACCTGAGGCTCAAAAATGTGAAATTCCTGAGGTCGAATAAGTAGTAGGGAGAGGATTTAAATCCAGGTTCTCTGTCTATAAAAATAATATACTTTCAACAAAACATTCTGATGTGTATTCATGGAAGATTTTGTGTTGGAGATAATATTTCAATTGGATATTTAAAGATCAGTTTTCGATGGGCAGACATAGACAACAGAGATCATTGTGAACAAAGGCTTGGATAAGAGGAAAGCAAAGAACACATCAAATGGAGAAAAATCATATTTTGTTAGAGCACAGAGTACACATAGAAATAAAGATTAAAAAGACAGATTGGGGCCAAATCATGGAGAGCTTTGAATGCCAGACTAAGAAACTTGGACAATCAAAATTAACAATGAACTGCCCAATGTAAGAAACTGAAAATTTGTTAATGTGGGGCATAGCCTCTGTATCAACTGTAGGGACTAGGTATCTTTAAGAGTAAAACACAAAAGAAAAGTGGGGCAAAGGAGAGAAATCTACAAAGGAATTACTTAGAAACTGTTCAGAAGGGAGAATTCAAATAGGTAACTTAGTACTTTAATTCTATGGGGAACACTGTAAACAAAAAAAGCAGAGGTCTCATGAATCCAAGAATAAAATTATAGAATTCTCAGGTGGGGAAGAGATTTAATAAAGAGAATAAAGAAAAGAAATCCTTTTTCTGAAAAAGTTCTAGTAAATGAAACGTAAAACTCATACACAAAAGAATTTGAGAGAGGAGAGGTCCATAAATACTGCACATTGTATATATATATTTTTTGGAATTTTAAGTATAGTGATCAGTTATGCTGATTTTTTTCCTCTTTTAAATATTTAAAATATTAAATATTGTTCCAGGTAAAATAAAGTAGTTTTATCAAGGAACATTATAGTGGTATAAAAGTGGCATTTAAAAACCTCATTTTAAAAATAATAGCCCCTTCCTTTTTTTTTTTTTATTATTGTTGTTGATTTTGTTTTGTTTTGTTTTTAGGATCAAATAGGAACACTGAAGCACTTTGCAAACCTTAAAGTTTTACATAAATTCTGCTTTTCCTCCTTCTCATCCTCCATGTCTTCCTATTCTTTCTTCCCTCCTCCTCCTTTTGCTTCTCTTTCTTTTTCTTTTCTCCTCTTCCTCTTCTTCCTCCTCTTCTTCCTTTTCTTCCTCCTCCTTTTTCTTCTTCCTCTTCTTCTTCTTCTTCTTCTTCTTCTTCTTCTTCTTCTTCTTCTTCTTCTTCTTCTTCTTCTTCTTCTTGTAATAACAATACATTGCCATAAACTATTATTAATAGTTATTGTTATGCTTCAGATATTACTCTTGCCTGGTTCTTTTCATTTTAAAGTCTGTATTCTCAGCCTCTATACACAACTTGCTAATACTGTAATTTTATGCCTAATCTCATTATATCAGTAAATTAAATATCATTTCACTACTTTCTCACAACAACCCTGTGATGTAGATGCTCTATTATTGTCCTATTTTGTCCTCTTATTGTCCTATGGCTTTGAAAAGTGAGAGGTTAAATAACTTGTTAAAGGTCACAGAGCTAAGAAATGTTTTGGGTGTAATCTGATCCGGTCTTCCTTATTCCATGCTGAGGATTCCATATATGCTATCAAACTGCCTTATAAACTCGTTGACCAGACATCACATAAGTACTCTGTTTTGCAACTCTTTCACAATTGTCACATTTCTAAACATAGAATCTTCCCATTAAAATGTATGTACTTTGTTGTTATGCTTAACGATATTTTTAAGGCAAACACTAGAAAATTCTTGTAGAGAGAAGGCTTTTTACCCTGACCTTTACACCCAAGCATACATGTAGATGGACAATTCTAGATATTAAGGAGAAAATCAAGCCAAAGTAATTTATAATAGGAAGCTGAGTGTGAAGCCACTAGAAGGAAGGAGGTTAGGGTGTTTAAAAATCAATTTATGTTTGAATATATGCCAAAGATGTTGAAATTTTACCCTAGTCAATGAATGTAAGAAATTTTTATAATTCTCCCAGCCTTTAGCTTCTCTAAGGTACTAGGAAAAGTGGACCTGCTTTTCAAACTAGGAAAAGTAACCTTGGTTTGTTATGAAAGACAGGAGGCTAATTATGTATTCACTATGGCATATTCCCAAAGAATCTCATGTGCTTTGCTATAGATCTTCATTACATTTTCATACTTTACTGATGAACTCTTGGACAATTCAGTGTGACATATCTCATCTCAACCTCAGAATTTCATTACAATTCCATAATTCTCAACTTAAAAAAAAAAGGAAAAATATTCCTATACAATTGTTCTTATTTCTTTAGCATCCTTGCTTTAAAAGACCCCCAGCCACCCCCAAACAGGGGGTGGGGAAAGTGATCTCATTATTCAAAGAAAGAAATGATTTATACTTTATTAAAGATTGTATTCCAAAAATGTGACAAACACACAGAACCTTAATTAACATTCACAATATTAAAAATACAAAGTCTTTCTTCTGCTTTTTCTTTCTCTTCTTTTTCTCCAATGTTTATCAGCACTTGGGGATGGATATGATAGGAATTATAAGGATCTGAAGGTTAGAAAACCAAGAAAGTGGAGAAAACTAAAAGAACCGGAAAGAGTGAGATTGCAAAATATGGTTGGTTGGTTGTTGTCATTCATTCTTGAGAAGACCAAAACGACATCATTATGGAAGAGTCAAGTTACGGTGTGTCTGACTGTGGCTGATCAGGTCAATGTGAGCTCAGAATGTTCTACCACAGGTGGAACGCAAATAATCCATCTGAATATTTGGGGTGGATTCTCTAAATTTGCTCATCTCACATTTCTTTTGAACTGTATCATTTCTACTTTGCTTATAGTGTGCAGCACCTTTTCTGATGAGGGCACATAATACTGGCCAGTGTCTTTCATATCACACAATCAATGCCAAAGTTCTTTTCTTTTTCTTTTTCTTTTTTTCTTTTTTTGGCTAGGCAATGGGTTTAAGTGACACCCAGGGTTGCACGGCTAGTAAGTGTTATGTTTCTGAGGCCAGATTTGAACTCAGGTCCTCCTGACTCAAGGGCCGATGCTGTATCCACTGCGCCAAAGTTCTTAAAAGAGACTTTAAGAATGTCCTTGTATCACTTATTCTGACTACCATGTGAGTGCTTGCCCTGTTTGAGTTTTCCATAAAATAGTCTTTTTGACAAGCATATGTTTTGCATTCCAACAACATGGCCAGCCCATCCGAGTTGCGCTCTCTGCAATAGAGTTTAAATGTTATTTTTTTTTTCCTGGAGTGCCCACAGTGAAGTGGAGCATCATTAACTTGGTGTAGGTTAGGTGATCAAAACTAATCTAGTCAACAAGCCTGTATGCCTACCAAAAGGAGTGAATGACAGGCTCATGTCAATGTGATTGCCTCTTGCAGGAAAACATCACGCCACCACCATCTGTGCCTATGCTCCAACCATGATGAACCCTGAGGAGGTCAAAGAAAAAATTTTATGAAGACCTGGAAACCCTTATCATCAATGTGCCAAAAGAGAACAAACATATAATTCTGATGACTTTAATGTGAGAGTGGACTCAGAGTACCAAACTTGGCAGAGAGTGCTAAGGAGGAATGGATTTGGAAACAGCAACAGTAATGGTCACTTGCTACTGAGGACTTGTCTATCTCATGATCTTCTCATCACCAACACTGTCTTCCACTTGCCTAAATGCAATAAAACTTCCTGGCTTCAACTTCACAGCAAACATTGGCATTTAATAGACTATATGATTGTAGGGAAAAGAGACTGTAAGGATGTAAGAGTGATGACAGCAATATGTGGAACAGAGTGCTGGACTGATCATAGACTTATTCTCTCTAAGTTAAATATTTGTATTCAACAAAAGCAATGGCCCCAATGCAAAATGACTAACAGAAGAAATAATGTCAGCAGATTAGAGGTCTTCTCTGAGAGGGAACAGTTTGTTGCTAACTTGCAGGAAAAGTTGAGCTAACACACAGTTGGCAACACTGGAACAGAAAAGGAGTAGGTAGCTTTCAGAGATTTGGTGTATAACACTACATTTGCTCATGTGAATCACAATACTCATAAACATCAAGACTGGTTGGTGAAAATGGTGAGGAAATTCAGAAGCTGCTAAATGAAAAGCAAGAACTCCATAGGTTTTACCAGCAGGATACAAAAATCACTACATAGATACACTCATATCTACATCCATACACATATATGTGCGCATGTGTACATATACATATATACGTGTGTGTGTGTGTGTGTAATTTCAAGATTTCAAAACCCTTTACACATACTTTATCTCATTTGATTGTCACAATAACCCTGGAAGATAGGTGATATCACTATCCTCATTTTACAAATGAGGAAACTCCCAGGACTGAGAAGATTAACCATGTAAAAAACCATCCTACTATGTCAATTGTTTTGTTATAATTTTTAATTTTATTTTTCATTATGAAGTCAACAAACATTAATTCATACAAATATATCAAAATTTAAAGTACAGGAGAATTTAAGCTGTGAGCTTCAGTTACATACTATGTATATTCAATATATATTCAACTTAACAAAGTAGTAACAAAATTACTCTATATTATACCCTTTTATATATTTTCTTCTGAGTATTTTAGAGCACTTTTTAAAGTATGTATATGTAGGCACACACATGTGTGCACACTGTGTTTACATACATATCCATATATATATACACAACATGCATGTGTATGCATATGTATGTGTATATACACCTACACACACATGCACATATATCTAATATGCCACCAGTTGTTATTGCAGAAACTTTGGCTCTTTTTAAAGTGAGCCAACAAGAAAATAAAAGAGAAAAATCATGGGAGAAAAGCTATGTAATCACAAGTGTTAAAATAAGATCACCAAAGGAAACCTAGACACCCTGGGAAAAGCGTGGTCTGGAAGTTCAATAACAAGCTGGGGGAAACCTAGTCATTTACGAGAATGAAACCACTAGAGAACATTTAAGATGATGAACTAGCACTACAGAAATAAAAAATTCAGCATCTCCTGTCCCAAACACTTCCTGAGATCCCAAGACCCAGATTTTTTTTTTTTCTAAATTACTGTAAGAAAAAGAAACTGAAAAATTTCAGTGAATACAATGGAATTTGTCAGGAGATGAGAATCAGTTTTGGCCTCTTTTAAAGGCATCATTAACACTGATCTTATTCCATATCCCTAATGAATGTTTAAAAAAGAAAATAAAGTATAGGTATTGGGTATGTATTATCAGAGAGATGAACAAAACCTTGCTCAATAAGAGTATATTTTAAAAAGTGAAATCCTAGTGATTGCTAGGGTCAGGACAAGCTGACACAGTCTCTCTCTGCTGACAAGTCATAATTAGAGGTTTTGCAACAGGTGAAAAAAATCTCCTAGGTACCATCACAAAAGGTGTCTTGGCCATATAGCTAGATAACTGTTAGAGGATACATATTATGGACCAAATCTGTCATTAGAGACAAAGTAGAAGTTAAGTACATGCTCTATAGCATGCAGTAGATAGGTCAGAATGAAGAGATGATTTGATGTCAAGAAAGAAGGTTGAACTTTCTCCTTCATGTTCTATATATGAGGCATTTACTAATTAATATGCAAACTCCTGTTGTCACATTTCTTTGTTAGCATTATTCAATGAAAATAAAGGTTCATCTCTAGAAAGTCACTAAAGAAGATGTGATAGACAAAAAGGGTTATTGAAAAACAGTAGAGAATTAAGAGTAATAGGTAAATAGGTAAAAGATCAAAAGTGAAACTAAGTATGTTGTAAACTCTCCATTCTCAAGCACAAGTCAAGTGTCATAGGTTTAAAGAAATAATAGGAAGATTATATCTGACATATTTGAATTAAAATGGGCTCAAATTGAATTGAACTGTGAGGAAGGAGCTAAAACTATGAATGAGAAATAATCATGTACCATTTGTTCTGTTTGGGGTGGAGGCAAGGAGCACTTCCACAGGCTCTATGTAAAAGTTTTATTTTATTTTTAAATGAGTATTCACAGAATTAAAAGTGAAAGAACCTGATCACTTGGGGACAGAAAATCAACTTAAAAACATCTTGGTCAGAGCCAAGATGTCAAAGAAAAGGCATTGACTAACCTAAGCTCTCCCCAAAACCCCTAAGAACACCTTTAAATAATGCCAAAAAAACAATTCCTGGAGCAGTAGAATCCACAAAGAAGACATCATCTTTCAAGAAATGATCAAGGAAACGGATCCAGCTCCAGCAAACCAGGAGTGGGCCTTGGGAGCCACTCAGCCCACAGATGGTAAGGGAATCAAACAACTGGTCAGAAGAAAATTACAGGTATCTCTGTTCTAGCACTGAGGCAAGACTCTGTTGCTTTGCACATAGTGGGATCTAGGTCAGTCCTGGTTGGCAGTCATAGGGCAAGGAAGAGCACTAGCATGCCAGAGCTTGCTGGTGCAATGAAGCAAGGAGTCTCACCATAGTTCCAGGGCAGAAAAGAGCACTTATGGTCACTCACAGACCAGAGTAGTAAATACACTTCTCCTTATATCATACCAACTTAGGTGAACTGAAACTTACAGGCCCCTAGAAGTATATCTGAAAACAGGTAAACAAAACCTCTGAGGCTGGGAGGGTGTGCCTCTATCAGGGAAGCAAGGCCCTACTTTAACAAAGAGTTCAAAATTTAAAAAAATATGTTGGGAAAATGAGCAACACACACACACACACACACACACACACACACACACACAATCTGACCATAGAAAGTTAGTATGGTGACAAGTAAGATCAAAACACACACTTGGAAGAACATAACAAAGTCAAAGCTCTTCCATCCAAGAAAAATCTGAATTGGTCTCAGGCTGCAGTAGAGCCCAAAAAAGATTCTGCAAACCAAATAAGAAAAGTAGAGCAAAACTTGGGGAAAGAAATGAGAGTGATAAAAGCAAATCATGAAAGATATAAGTCAATAGCTTGATAAAGAAGAATCAGAAAAATACTGAACAAATTAACACCTTAAAAAACACACTAGGCCAAAGAGTAAAAGAGGTTCAAAAAGCCAATGAGGAGAAGAATGCCTTAAAAAGCAGAATTGGCCAAATGGAAAAGGAGATCCAAAAGCTCACTGAAGAAAATAATTCCTCAAAAATTAGAATGGAGCAAGTGGAACCTAATGACCTTATGAGAAATCAAGAAGCAACAAAACAAAACAAAACAAAAAAAGGAAAAAAAAAGAAGACAATGGGAAATATCTCATTGGAAAACCAACTGACCTCAAAAAAGATCCAGGATAGATTTTTTAAAAATTATTGGACTACTTTATCTTTCAAGAAATTATCAAGGAAAACTGTCCTAGAATTCTAGAGCCAAAGAGTAAAATAGAAATGGAAAGAATCCACCAATTACTTCCTGAAAGAGATCCCTAAATGAAAATTCCCAGGAATATTATAACCAAATTCCAGAGTTCCCAGGTCAAAGAGAAAATATTCCGAGCAGCTAGAACAAAAAAACAAACAAACAAACAAACAACAAAAAAACAGAAACAATTAAAAGATTGTTGAGCCACAGTCAGGAAAACACAAGATTTAGCAGCTTCTACACTAAAGGACTAGAGGGCTTAGAATATGATATTCCATCGAGCAAAGGAGCTAGGATTATAACCAAGAATCACCTATCCAACAAAACTGAGCATAATCCTTCAGAGGATAAAATGGACATACAACGAGATAGAGTACTTTCAAGCATTCTTGGTGAAAAGACCAGAGCTGAATAGAAAATGTGACTTTCAAATATAGTTAAAGTAAAATATGACTTTCAAGAGAAGCATCAAAAGGTTAACAAGAAAGGGAAATCATAAGGAAATTAAAAGCTTAAAGTATTTACATTTCTACATGGGAAGATGATGTTTGTAACTCATAAGATCTTTCTCATTATTGGAGTAATTAGAAGGAGTATGTATAGACAGAGGGCTTAAGTGTGAGTTGAATATGAAGGGATGATATCTAAAAATAAAATTAAAAAAGTGAGAGAGGAATGTACTGGGAGAAAGAGAAAGGGAGAGGTAGAATGGGTTAAATCATAATATAATAGAGTCAAGAAAAAGTTTTTACATTGGAGGGGAAGAGGGGGTAGTTGAGGGGTAGTGAGTGAACCTTACTCTCATCAGAATTGGCTCAAGAGGGAACAACATACACACTCAATTGGGTAAAACAATCTATCTTACCCCACAGGAAAGTAAGAGGGGAAAGGAATAAGAGAAACAAGGGTGACAGAAAGGAGGGCAGAATAGGGGAGGGGCATAGTCAGAAACAAAGCACTTTTAAGGAGGAACATGGTAAAAGGAGAGAGAATAGAATAAAAGGGGGGATAGGATGGAGAGAAATAGAGTTAGCAATAGTAACTGAAAAAAATCTGAAGCAAGTTTGTTTTTTGTTGTTGTGGTGGTTGTTTTTCCTGACAAATGCCTCATTTCTCAAACATTTAGAGAATGGAGTCAAATTTATAAAAATAAGAGCCATTCCCTAATTGATAAGTGATCAAAAAACATGAATAGTTTTCAGGTGAAGTAATCAAAGATGTCTGTAGCCATATGAAAAAATATTCTGACTCAGTATTGATTGAAGAAATGCAGATTGAAGCAATTCTGAGGCACTGTGTCATACCTATTAAATTG